CAAGTGCATCTTGATGGCTCACGTCCAATTTTTCATCCACCGTTTTTCCCCAGTCCTGCTCCACAGGGTTGTTCTCAATTCGTCCATCACCCTGTCTGTATTGACATTGGGGCTGCCCTGACCCAGGGCACCTTGCACTTGCTCTTGTTCAACTTCATGAGGCTCCCATGAACCCTCTTCTCAGGCCTGTTAAGATTCCTTTGGATGGCATTCCCTCCCTCTAGCAAATCGGCTGCACCACAGAGTTTGGTTTATGCACAAATTTGCAGAGGGTCAACTCAGTCTCATTGTCTATGTCACTGGTGAAGATGTTAAGCAGTATTAGTCCCAGTATCTGAGAGTCACAACTCATCACTGGTTTCCATTTTATCATTGAGTAACTCTTTGGACATGACCATGGGACCAATACCTCATTCATTTTAAGATTTGTACCTTAAATCCATACCTCTCCTATTTAAAGGTAAGAAGGTAGTGTGGGATGATATCAAAGGTTTTACAGAACTGCAGGGAGACGACATTCATAGATCTTCTCTTATCTACTGATGCAATCATTCTTTCAGAGAAGGCCACTAGACTAGTTAGGCATGATTTGCTCTTGAAGCCACATTTTCTGTCTCTAATCACCTCCCTATCTTCTACGTTTCAGTAAAAAATCCTGGAAGATCCGTTTCATTATCTTGTCAGGTCCTGAGGTGAAGATGGTGTACAGAGTGGTAGGTAGTTTCCAACCCCTCCCTCCCTCCCCCTTTTTAAAAATTAATGTGCTGATTCCCTTTTCTCCAGTAACTGGGAAGTTCACTTGGCTTCTGTGACTTTTCAAATATGATGGAGAGCAGCTTGGCACCTAAATATGTCAATTTCCTCAAGGCCCTGGGGTGCATCTCATCAGCTCCCATGTTATAGAAGCTGGCAGGATTTATGTAATTTGTGATTTTCTTATTTTACATTTTTTTTTCCTTTTTTTTCCTCCCCTTCCTCTATTTTTCCTTTTTTTTTTTTTTCCATTAGTGCCCTGACAAGCATGGAATCATAGATTTGCAGTTTGTGCAGTTCTTCTAAAGGCATCTGCCTTTCATTATTTGTTGCTATTTCAAGTTATTTCCCCTACTATGTGTACGTTCTCCTGTGAAGACTGATTTGACTGCTTCTTTTCCATGTTAGATAGTTGATATATTTTGTGACTCAGAGAGATGTCTGTGACTGTATCTACTTTGACAGATATTGCCTTTTTATTTACTGGGGGTTTTTTTATCCTACTGAATTTTCTCTATGGACCGAAGCAACTTATTCTTCATGACCAGAAGGTGAATGTCAAAAGTAAGATTTGTCTTACCTAAACCAGAAGTCTCAATGCAAATATCTATCCTTAGCATATCACCTGCACTCCAAACAGTTATATGTCAAACAACATGACACTTGTAGGATAAGATTCCTATTGTCCTAAAGTAAATACTTAAAGTGACTCTAAATTATTATAACCTGCATCAGCCTTTTCTCTCCATTTGTCATAGAGGAAGATGGTCATGAAAGGCTCAGAACATACAAACATCTCCAAGCTGGTGACTGATTTTATCCAAATAAATATAAGGGGAAAAGTATTAATACTGATATAACTTTTTATCATTATTACTAAAAAATTAATTGGCCTTTCTGAGAGAAAAAAAAAGATTTTTCTCCTGTTTTTTGTTTTCTGTAAATATCCCAAACCATCTTGCTCTCTTTTATGTTTTAGCACTACTGCTTACAGAGAAAAGTCTCGCTAAAAATCCCACTAGAAAAGGCCCTTCTGATTCTAGCATCTTCAACATCTGTGGGAAACAAAAATAAAACACAAAAATTAGACCCTGCTAAACCTGGCTCTGCAGGGAGGATTTTACTAGTGTGTGAATAAATAAAACCATTTGTCCTTATGGACGCATGCTGACTGTGCAGAGAGGAGGTTGGGGTTGCTTCCCACCCCCACTCAAGATGTTCCTATTAGAACAAGGTTATCTGTTTACCATCTTGTTTATGCTTCTTTAAAAGAAAACCACACTTAAGAAGCAGCCTAAAAAAAAAAAAAAAAGGCACGAGAAGCAAACGAGAAAGCAGTATATAAAAAGGACATATATTTATAATACTCTCATAAATAAGCCATCAGCTGTTCTTACCATATATTTTCTATGGAAATATTTTAATTCTCAAGGAAAAACCATCAGTGCCCCTTTTTCATGTTTATAACAGATTTTTCATCCTACACATGACTTGAAGCATTATTTGTTATTAAATTTGCTGACACTTTCTTTTCAAAACACTTATTAGTTATATGTAACTTCATACAAATATAACCATGCATGCCCAGTTTACTTTTTTTAGTGGAGGGATATTGCAAGTTTATTTTTAATTAAACAAATGGTTTTACTTGCTGCTCCTTTTTATCTCTCCTCAACTCATTCTGGTTAGTCTCCTCTCACTTTCTTAATTATGTTGTTTCAGAGGAAAGCCTTGCCCAAACATCCTACGAGAGATTTTCAGTCTACCTATGACCTATCTTTGTGTAGGAAAACAAGAACACTAAAATGAAAAAGTTGTGTGGGGAAATTTTATTTAAATATTTAAAAATATTGGTTGTTTTCCCCCTGTTTCATATTTTTGGAATACAAGGTGTTTCTGTTTGAGAAAATCTGGAGGGGTGGAGACCTCAGAGAGAAGTCTCCTCTCTTGGATTCAATACTCCTCGTTTCTCCAGTGCAAAGGGAGACCGAAGACACTCTAAACATAAATGAAAAAAATAACTCTTTACCAAGAAGAATGCTGATAAAAATACTTATAAAACCAGGTTAAACCAACTGATGAGAAACTTGCCAAGACCCACCGTCCTGACTAAATCCAGATAGTGGCCCGGCTTTCCCCACTCAGAAAAAGAAAATACACACAGAGACAGGACAGAAACAAGATGGGTGCCCATAATTCATCTCTGCCACACCCGGAAAACCTGGCAGGAACAATTGGAGGGTCATTGCTGGAGTGAGGCTGTGGTGCTGGTACAGGCAATTGGAGCAGGGCCGCGGACTCCCCGAGAGGATTTGCAAGACACCTGTTGGATACAACGATGAGACTGGGTTGCTGAATTTTGATGTTTGTTGGTCAAAGTGGTGGTTGCAGTCCCGTCGTAGTGGTGGTCACAGTCCAGGTCCATCAAGGTGATGGTGCAAGTCCTGGGTGGTACGGAAAGTCCCGTGTGGTGAGGGAAAAAAATTCAGCGTTGCATGAAGTCCACGTGTGGTCTTTTATTTGGCTTAGGCTGAGTGGGAACCCCTGGGGAAGGGAGTTCTACACTGGATGATGTAATACTGGATCACGGGTCGTTCCAGGAATATTTGACAAGATGTTAGAGATGCCTGTTACACGGGTGGATCCATTATGGTCCATCAGCAAAGATGAATATCTTCAGACTATGTGTGAATTGTCTCAGTGCTTCCCCAGAGAGTAATTATCACATTTAAGTCATTTGTGTAAGGACAGAGAAACAACAATCAGCCTGAAGCCAAAGTTGGCAGGTGTGCATGCTCTCAGCACCCCTATAACCTAGGTGGTTGCTTTGCCCATAGTCACCTTGCACCTGGACTGTCTGAGTCATCAGCATTCTAGTCTTTCGCACTTGTGGATACATCCTTCTCCTAGGATAATAGTACCACCCTTATCTCAAGTTCCCTTCACAGTCCAAATCAGTAGTCATATTTGGGGAAAAGAGAAAAGAAAAGATGGATACCAGAATTTTTCTGTAATTCAGGACACAAGGCATAGGCTGCTGGGAAACGACCCAATTTGGATAGGACTTTTGAAAAACTACTTATTGCACATACATTGAGCATGGAATCTCATTTTTATCAGCTAAACATTCTTGGAGTCTCCAATTCAGTTCTTCACTAAGCTTGTCCCTATTTCTTGCACAAAGTTCAGTAACAAGAGACACAATTTCCCCAACTATCCCGAGTTTAATATTTTCCCCCTCATTTTCTGCCCTTTAAAGGAAAACAAAAAGGAGGAAACACAATAAAACAAAACCAAAGCAATTTCCCTGACAGCAAGTCATGATAGTGCCTCCTTTGCCATCTATCATGTTTGATCCTTTCAGTTTTGATTCTCTCAGAGGATTCAGTGTTTTTCCTTCTATTTTAGTCTCTTCTCTTTCAACTCTTTTACTGTTCTCATCATTGTAGGAAGTACTTTATTTCGTTGATTGAACAGAAATTTCTGTACCTGATCAAAATGGGCTGTGTTCTCTCATTCGTCAGTTTCTATACAGTTCTATCTATTAATCTCTTTTTCTCTATTTTCTGTTGTAAAGATATATATTTTTTTTGTGGTCGCCCCATTTCTCTGTACAGGTTACAGGCTTTTGCAATTGCAAGAGGAGTTGTTTGTTTTTCCTAAAGTGCTTTAAAGAGGTTAAAACATTTCAAAAACTGATTCTTTCTGTAGGAAAATTTCTTACTCTTTTACATCTGTAGAGAGAAAACATAATGATTTACATATTTTAGAAAGAAGATGCTTGCTATATAAAGGACAGTTCTTTCATATGTTAAGCAAGATCAGTCAATTTTTATCATATTTTTGGTTCCATAAAATCACAACACTGTCTTTGAGGAATTCTTTGCCAGTGGAGATACAGGAATAACAAGAGCCCCCTCCACAGCTGCTGTTTGTAAATAGCATTGCTGTATCAGCAACATGCTTAAGCAATCTGGGATGACAGGAATGCTATTTCCTTTCTCTCTCCAGGTGGGAGCCACTCCCCACTCCTTCCATGATTAAAGAGCATGACCCCAGTGTCAGCTGCCTGTGATTCTGGAAATATACCACCTTTTTGTAATGACAGTTCTAGGATTCCAGGTTTTAGTGCTTGAAAATGGGTGGTTTGGTTTGGGTTTTTTTTGTGATAGGGGTGAGAGGGTGAGAATGGAGATAGAGTAAGGGAGAGCTGGTTTGTGCAACCAGTATGTTCACTTGTCTTGTTATTAACCAAGAAGGAGTACATGGAATTGTGTTAGCACAGTTATGAACTGCATTGACATAGGACACTTCACATTCTTTTCACAAGTCATATCTTGGTGCACATCCCACACACTGTGTGGATCTGTTCCATAGTATTCTTTCAAATACAGTTTTATATCTCCTAAACCATAAGAGTTATATCAGGTATAGAATATTCTTACAAAACAAACAAAAAATCCCATATGTCATAATTGAGTGAAATCATGCTAACTTTATTCTTTTAACTTACTGGTGACAAGGAAGTTCCAGGGTGAGTTACACAAAGTCACAGGCTGACTCACCTTTTACCACAAGCGTGCGTTCTCTGCTCAGTGAAAGCTTTCTTCTCAGACCTTGATATGTGGTGAATTAGACACAATAAGTTTCGTGTCTCTACATTGGATCATTTCTATTAATTGTTCCCAAAGAAACTTGTATGTATACCAATATGCCTTGGGTTTTTTTTAAGTGCACTTGAAATCAGTGTGGGCTGGAGATGCAGTATATTTACAGTAGAAAATAATGCAACTTGCTAGTAGGAGATAAACAAAGCAGCCGTTCTGAGGATTAAATGCCCATCCTACACATGATTCTGAGGGAATTACTTCAGAATTATCTGGTTTGGTTTTGTAATCTTAATGTTCAGTAACTGTTAAGGACTACAGAGAGATTTTAGTCATTTGACTTGAAATAGACATCTTCTGAGAGCATGATCTCCCTCTGATAACCTTCAAAGCACCTGTCCCTTATTGACTCGGATCAAATGCAAGACTATTTGACTATACAAACTGCAGAAGCTTTCTTTAGAAGGACTGGTTCACTAGGCTCTTCAAGATAGTTGAAATCCATATGTAAAAACTGCATTGACTGGATTTTGTATCAAAAGTGGTGTGGAAGGATCTTGCAGATTAAGTCAGAAATGTAGCCTAAAAGCTTTAGTCTAGTTTTTTGATTTATAAATTTCATTTCCTGGTTTTGACTTGAAGAAAGTACTGAAAATTGAGGTTACAAAAGACAGAGGAAATGTTAAGTTTGTCTGAACACTAAATTATAGATAGATGCAAAAAATATGAGTAAAAAACTTGCAAGAGCCAAGTAGAATTTAGCAAGTGAACAGAAAACAAGACAAAGGATCAGCAAAATAAAATGTTTCCTTGCTGAAGAAAGAGACTTTCTGCTTGAGGAATAGATGTAAATAATTCATTTTATCCCCCCCAAATTGACAAGTAAACTACCTCTATATTCATACAAAAAGGGGAAAAAAAGTCCAACATTGCATAGATTTCTAATCGTGTAAATGCTTAGCTACTAAGATCTCAGAATTTTTTCTTCAGTTTAAGAATAAATCTTTCGAAGATTAGAAAGAATAAAGCAGAACATGAGATTTGATAAATGTTTCCAAATTAATATCCTGTAAAAGACTTCTTGACCATTATTCTGTCATTAAGTGCTTTCCCATAACCACAGTGTTACAAAACTGGAAGTGTATTTACAGCACAATTTAAAACGACCTAAACAAAGTGCAACTATTTTTCTAAAGTTGACCTTTGCAAGCAAATTGCAAATGTAGTACCACTAAGATCAAACAAAAAAAAGTAAACTCAGTTCCTCTACTGTTATCCTTTCATTACGACATTACTGGACTAGGTTCAGGCTTTACTAATTGGTACATACCTGTTATAGGAGCTGGACTAGCAGTCTCAGTCTTGCAGCAGCAGGAGGAAGGGTTGCTATGGAACTAATTACAGCTATCAGCAGTGGTTCTGTTTTAAATGGTGTATGAATTAGTCAGCCTCCTAGAAGCACACACAAGTGAATTTGCCATTAACAATGAACAGCTCTGTGAAATGAACGCAGTATAAATTTACTTAGTCCATTCTGGGATTAGGCCGACAGCTCTACTCTTATTTAGCCTCTGAAGTAAATTTCAGTGAAAAACTTAAGAAGCTTTTCCCTAGCAAAGTGATTTTTGCCACATACTTGGTGCCTTATTACAATACAGACTGTATTCCAGTTCCAATTACGCTAATGCAAGCTGTGAGTAACTTCATTGTGCTCACTGGAATTACTCTAGATTTACAACAGCGTTATCTGAGATTTACACCTCTATAATTTAATCTGAAATGTGGCCTCATGGTCTAGCTGGTTGTTAGCTTAATAGGAAAAATATAGTTTCATAAATAGTTGATATTTTTCATACTAATTTGAGACCTCCTAACAGCTGCTTCTTTATCCATTTATATTAATTTACTACACCAGAAACATGCCCAATTAGTAAGACAGGTAATTCACTTACTGTTCATGATAAGTAAAACTTTTTCTTTGACATTTCACCTATTCCTATATAATATTTATCTCCCTGAAATGTTTGGTGCTATCCTTAACACCGTAAGAAAGGTAGAGGTTTGTTGTATCATGGTATCTTGTTTCTAAGGCTGCTGAAGTAGCCAGCTTTTTTCACACTGATGAGCATACAAATCTGAGCTATGGATTAGAACTGACCTAGCAGGGAAACCACAAATTGTATGTTTTCAAGGAACATGGGTAGTGGAAAAGGACTATAATATTAATTAGAAGTGTTGCATGGGATTGTCAAATTGTCTATCAGCAACTCTAGTTTTCATTAAAAATCTCATTTCTGTTTTGGGATCTAGAATTTTCACGGCTATGGGAAAAGAGACAAACCACATTTTCTTTTACATAAAATGGATTGCTTTTAAAACTTCAAGAAAATTAAATGTGCCCTCTATCTTTCTTTTTGCACTGTCCATTGGGCTTTTTGCTATTTCTTTCATAAGAGAATTTCATATAATGGAATTTGCAGAAGAAAAATCATGTAAATTATGATTACACTAAATTAAGCTGTTCTCAGCTCTATAAGTGAGCTAAGGCCAGGTTGAGTTGCCTCCCAGAGGCCTCATTGTTCACTCTTCTAGGCAATAAAATAGTTGCTCCAGAGTCATTACTGTATATGAGACAAGTTGCTGCAGCTCCCCTCAATGAGGAACCTGACCCAAGGACTTTATAGCAACAAATCATCTGGTTTCTACACAGATAATTTAACTCCTACTCTTTTCAGTCCAACAGAGAAATTACAGCGATGTTACTGCAGATAAGTGCTTTCCTAATCTTCATGTGGGGAAAATGTCCTTTCTTAGAGATGACAGTCATGACACCATACGGGAGTAATATTGTGTCAGACTACACATTCTGGTTTATGATACTTTTAACCATGTACTCCAAACTAAAGAAACAATGTGCACCAAACCCCAAACCTGCATTTGGAAAAGAAAATAAGAGTAGAGAAAAAAAAGTAAATGAACTAAAGAAAAAGAGTCAGTTTCAAAGGAAACGTGTAACACCAAACACGGATTACTTATCACCTGTATGACTACTTGAACAGGTACAAAGCTGAGGTCTAATGCCACTACTTTGATTTGTAGGAATATAGTATATTGTTTTGTCACAGAATAATATAGTGTGAAGAAACAAAATAAAATATTCATCAGCTATAAATTCCTGAACTTTTGAACTACTTTATTATTTCTTTCATAATGGAATGAATTTAGAGAAATAAGAGGGAGTAGAGAAAACTCTTCCTTTGGTGCTTCAAATGGTACTATGAAGCATATTTCACTTTCTGATCCTTAGAGACTGGTAGTAATAGAAGCATGTTTGGATACCAGCAAGCCTACTTCTATTTTGTTTTACCGTCAGTAGACCAATGAAACAACAAAAAAAAAAAGTTTTATTTTGTCTCACACATACGTATACAAAACCACAAATACACCTTATTTAAGTAAGTTAAATTTTTAATCTTTTATTTTTTCCCTGAGGTAAGAAGTCTGGAAGACACAATGGAGGAATATTGCTTTTTAACTTCTATACTTACTGAAAAAAAAGATATAGGGAGAGCTCAAGGGTGGAAAAATACCTTTAAGTTATACTTTATTGCTGCACAGTATTTTGGTCTGGATTCTCATTAGAGTGTTCTAATTACTACTTTTTTCATATTTTTTATTGTTATTATTAGTTGTAGTAATAATTTTAATTATTTTTTAATCTTTTCACTTAGTTTCCAAAGTCAGCTCTACATATCTAGGTACGTACAGTGTTGGAGTTTTTTTTCCTGTTTTTCATATTCTTTGTAAAATTGCCCAGATGGTTACATTCCAACTGCTCTAGAGAACAAGAGTTAGCAAGCACCTAAACAATGTACTGTATCCAAATGCTTAGTCTGCTAGCATATAGTAAAGCTTCCACCAATTTCCAGAACACAAACGAAGTAAAACCTTAGTTCTGGCTATCCATTGGAAAGGTGACAACTCCTGGAGGAAAAATTGCAACTGAAGTTAAACAAATGGGGCAAACAAAAGCAATTGCAAAAATTACCAAGGGCCACATAGACACTCACAAGATAGCTCTGGGATGCTGCAATTATGAACAAATCAGTACTATGCCACCACATGAAAATAAACAAAACACTCTTTGGCTCTTGTACCTTAATCAGGTGGGAAAGAGTTGCTACTAGACAATTAAAAAAAACATTTGCCTGTTAAATTATAATGGTATTTACTCCAGCTTATATGTCATCCCTTGGGTAGCAAGTTTAATTTGCTTATATAGCTTATGTTGGTTACCTTGGTGGAATAAACTGTACCAGGAAAAAAAAAAAAAAAGTTTTCTCTTTATTTAGTAGGTCTAAAAGTGTGACTTATTTGAAAAGAAAAATTACATGTTATCAGAAAGGACTTGTGGTATAGATGTGGTACAAATGCTTGTAAAGAGCTTGAAAATATTTAGAAAAATAAAGTTTAAACATTGTAATTCTTATATTATGATTTAAATTGCAACATCCAACATCCTTTATGACTCTGATTTTCTATTAGACATATTAATTTACTTGTATGATTGCTTTCTCCCCATCTCCACAGCAAGGCTAACTGAATATTTCATAGGTAATAAAGTGCTCTTATTATGCCTACATTATGGCCAAGGAGCTGAGACTCAGAGGATGTGATGGGTGGATTTACCATACATCACAAGTATCTACCTGAGAAACCCAGTGCAAACGTCAGAAGATATCAGAATATGAACTTGTTATTTGTTGGATATTTAAGGGCCTTAAATCCAAATATAATTTTCCAAGCATCCATAAAGTATATTTCTTGACATGCCCGGAAGTCTTGACAGTGCTTAAAAACTTGATAGATTACCTTTTGCTAAGGGTCCCTAAGGAACTATAAACTAAATACTTATCTCCCTGTCTCGTCCATATACTTGCTGTAGTAGATGTTCCCAGAACAAGCCTGCTAAACCACATTGTGTGCAAGAAACAGCTGCCAGCTGTGGTGATATCACTATCTCCTAAGAAGGCAATAAGAACAAAACTGTCATTCATACATGAGAAATTATGTTTAATTTCCTCTTCTCACTGGGGGAATTTAAATGAGTGCCTCTGAAACACTGGAGTATGCAATAGCTTGTAGCATAAAATATACACTAGGTTCAGATGGGATATTTTGTCCTCTCAAATCTAATTCAATTTGTGCAGAATAATTAGGAAGAATAAAAGTAGCAAGTTAGAGCATGAATACAGGAGTGGGTGCAAACAGGCTTGATCATAGAGTGGTTTGACAGTGTGGATATGCTGCTGTTGTGCTTTGTCCCCACAATCAAACCCAACACAGCTGCCACAGGGCACTGGAAGAGCTACCTTGGTAGCAGTTGATTTCAACTCTACAAACTGCTGCTTATTATACATGCTAGAGGGGCTATCCCGTTACCTAGTATTTCCTTAAATCAAAATAAATTTTTCAAAATTAAAGAGTAGATTTGAATCTCGTGATTACAAACCATTAAATGATTGGCTACAACTGTCCAAAAGGAAGTTCTGTCTTCGCTTTTCTATTATCTGGAGCTGAGAGACTGCAAATTATGAGCAGATGAACTATGTTTTCTTTAGAGCTATAAAAATGTCAAAGCCAATATGTTTACCCACCAGCTAAACAAGAGTGGGTGTCAAAAGGAAAAAAAGCACATCACAAATGCAGGATTCACTGTAAAAATCTTAGCCATGCTTAACCATTCTTAGCCATGACTATGAGTCAAGGATATTTCAGCTTCTTACTAAAACAGTCATGAAAAATCTGTGTATAGATGTATATATGTGCTAATTCTGTTCAAAACCTACTGCTTGGTAAGAGGCCAATATATGTGAGAAGATTTTTTATTTTTCAGTGCATTCTTTTACAATTTACAGGGGTGATTAATTAAGATAGAAGATGCCAGGCAAGTTATAGAATAAGAATTCATGGCAGACCATGTGAACTTTTCTGAGACTTTTTCAGGTCTCACAATGTGCCAAGTGCTTTCCTGGAACACTCTAAGACTCAGGTGCTAGTACACTTTCACCAGAAAAAAAAAAAAAAAAAAAAAAAAGATGGATATCAATGACCTACTTTTTGAAACATGGGAAAACAGTCACTCAGAACTTGAGTAAACTGATCCAGCTGACCATCTCTACATTTAATTGTCCTTCAGCATTGATAGCTAAATCTCTAATTCCAGCGGGAAAAGAACTCATTTGAAAACCTAGACATGGGCTTTTAAAATGTCAAAATGTAAAGCTAAAAAAAAAAAAAGAAATGAGCTTGCAATTGCTATTTTTGCTGACAGCTTTAAAGAAGAATAACCGTCTTTTTGACCTTGACAATTATCAGTTCTCTATCTGACTTTTCTTTTTGCGTGTATTTTTTGCCAGGTTTTACCAAGTTTCAGCACTAAAGAAGATAAATGACAGTGAACAGTATTTGTTGTCCTGCAGTATTTTCTGCAGTGCCCAGGGGTTGCACTTGTTTTTAGTATACTCAGCACAGAGATAGGCTTTGCTAAGCACTTTATCGAATTTGTAGTCAAGCTGCTGGTGTAAAAATAATAATCTTCTGTGTAATTTGCGTTCTGGAACAAAATTTGTTAGCCAAATATCCTCTCTTCATTCTTTTTTAATAACAATGAGTAATTTTGAATGAAACTGAAAACCTGAGCAAAATTTTTCCTGGAATTCTACTGTTCTAATTCCAATTAAGAGCTATTTTAAAGTTGTTCTCAAGAAGAATAATCAAAGGGGATCTTTCTTCTTCAAGATTACTATCTGAGAAAAAACTAGAAATTTTAAAACTAGAAAAATAATAAACTAGACAAAATGTATCAATTTCAATGAGAAATGACTGAAATGCATAAACTGACCAATAACAGTCTCAAAAAGTTTTGGTTTTGCTGATGTCTTACATTGTGAAAATAAGGTTGAAAGTATAAAAAAATAAATAAATAAAAATACCTTTTGAGGATCTGAAAGATCTTTAATGTTATGGGCCCAAAGCATGTTATGGGTTGTGTCTCCATATTTTATTCCATATGTGCTTTTTTAGTTCATTTCCATCTCTGCGCTTTTTCAGATAATTTCAAGATCTATCCCAAAAAACTTTGACTTCTTATTTAATCCAGAGATTGTTTACTGACATACTTCAGTATATGCAATATATCAGCAGTGGTTTATGGTGTACTAATATCATTCTGGCTAGCTGCAGTACAGGTTTCAAAATATTAAAGGCAATTTGAACAGAAACAATTAACACAAAAAACCCAGTTATGATTATTAAATTATTTGAGTGCCACACATATTAACCAGAGCAGAAGAAAATCCAAGGGCTATATTATGTGGGCATAGATGATGCTTCTTACAGGGAGCTAGCACAGTAGATGCAAACCAAACTAAATAATTTACCATGAATCACTGTCTCAAACAGATGAATTTAGCAGTGCTGATGTAAATGCTTCTCTCTAAAACTCACTTCTCTTATATATCAGAATTTCATCTGATGTTTACCTCAGTTTATCTGAGAACTCAGAATCTATTCCTACAAGCAAGAATTGCATCCATTGTTTAAGAAAGAAAAAAAAAAAAACAAAACAACAAAACATCTCTACTCTTTTCTGTCAAAAGATAAATTATGCTTATGTTTTGTATAAGTCTATTTATTTCAGAAATAGATGATCAGGTTTAACTGATGTCCTGAAACTGTTGGAAATATCCTACAGAGCTGATTTATCAAACCAAATGCTTGATAGGTCTGAAGGTAGAATGACTTCTATTTCTCCTATACTCTAGATTTAAAAAATTATAGAATTGGCTGGACAGAAAAACAGTCCAAGTGCTATCTGAAGGAACAGAGAACATGAAGAAAACTTTTACTTCCAGCTGAAGTACAGAAATTAGTAGACAAATATTTATTGACACATTTCTCAGTACAGGAGGAAATGTTTGCTGCACTCACCATGCTCTAAAAGGGTTGTCATTCAAACACTTTATGAGATGGCAAAACTTGTCAGTGTGAATCCCAGGCCAGACTGGGCTTTGGAAGACAGATGAGTCTTCTGCCTATGCAGGCATGAACTAATCACCAAGTTTCTTTAATGAGGGAAGCTCTTACTGACATAAAACCAGAAGGTAGCTGGGAAAATCTGAAGGTAATATGGAGATGATAGCTGCAGTTGTTAGTGCCTTAGCTCTGTATTAGTTTCACTAAATCTTTTACTGTTTTCTGGAACATCGCTGATTTATGTTTTAGCATGCGGTATATATTTGATTTCAAGAAGCTAAACCCATAGTCATTTCGTTTTCCACAATAAAATTCACATTCTATTTTTTGCAGACATGAGCTAGGCCCACGCCTCACTTGGGCTCATGACTATGTGAGCTCTGAGTCACACTATGTAGCAAAACTACTGTTCAAGTCAGCATAGCTAGGATACATCTCACCTAACTTCTAGAATGTGATTAATCTGCTCTGGTTTGGATGCCAGCTTTAGGATGGGATGAATCACCTTGTAGTAGTGCCTGTTTTTTTTCCAGTAATTGCAAAAGAACTCTAGACAGCTGTCTAAGGTGCAGGTTTCTACTCTATGGATGGTTAAAGTTAGGTGAGATAAGCCTCATTGAGTTTCAGTAAAAGCTATGGTTAAATGAAGCACATGCAGCAGTGGCTACGTAGCCTACCTTTTTTGCTTGTTCATTCCTTGAAAAAAGAAGAGGCCTCATCAATATATCTTCTAGTTAGATTTTTAAAAGAGGTACTGATGAAAAAGGTAAAATTTAATAATAATAGTATACAATCTTTTGTGTGCAATAATGGCTGGCTTTTTTTTTTTCCTGGAAAGTTGTCACCCTTAAGTAACTGTCAGCAAGGGCTTAGAGTTCTGAAGGAGGATCAAAGAGAGTTGACATACTGCTTAAAATGTATATGTTTCTAATACATGACAAGCATTCAAATTGCAGTGACTACAACACATTTACGGCCTTACCATGGTATGCAATAGGCATTAAGTTAGACCATTTGGTTTCATTTTGGGGTTTTGATTTAGAACATTCCAATTTAGGCATTGCCATGCTCAACATTGGTTTCTAATCTAGTTGAATTGCTTTATTCATCATACTGTAATTCTGGTTTTCCTACAGTATTTTGACCTATAGTGAGACCTTACTGAAAGAATAGAAGTTGAGGGGATTGAAGGATTCTCAATCAATTGACAGACTGCCATCACCCTCCTGGTAATTTTCAATTCTTATGCATGAATCTCATGTCAGAGTATAAATATATTTATCACAAAAATGTAATAAAATTCATTGCTAGCAGAATGCATGCATAATGGTTTTGAAATTTTGTAACGTATAGAAGTTGTTGCCTAGAGAAAAATGCCTTGTATTTAGTGCATGTAGATATGCATATGTACACACATACATACAAATACACATGAGCGTACATATGTTTATTTGACTGAATTGTGGAGGGAAACAGACATTTTTTATGAATTACAAATGAATGTTTAATCTTGACAAGGCTTTATTTGTTCGAGAATCAAATCCCTTCTCTAGTTCCTCAAAAAGCCAATTATCAGAAAGATTCTCTTTCGCTCCTGTTATTAACAGATAGACATTGATGACAGTTTAACTTGATTTCAGCACAGCTCTTGGGCCACAGCTGCTTACCAGGCAATCTAAGTACCACTTGAACGCTCAGTTGCAGATTGACCTTGTGGTAATTGAGGTTATGAAAAGGGTCTTGTTCTCTAAAATCTCAAATGAACACCTCTCCCTCTGGGAGGCAGCAGGATATTCAGCAATAGCAGCCCTGCTGAACCTGCAAGATTCTTTCTGCCACTCTGGTCAGTGCTGAGGTCAGGATGAGAAACAAATGTCTATGATGGGATATGAGGAATGTAATGGAGTAACAAGTTAAGATGAAATTATTTGGACTGCAATTATTTTCCCTTAATCGTGCCCAATTGTGCCACCCCAAAAAGACCTGCTAAGTATTTGAAAACATATTTTTAACACTTTCCTCACTTATATCAAAAGGAGTACTTTGTGTTCTTATTCTTGATTTTTTATAATTTGTCTTTAAAAAGAAAAAAAAAAGAAAAAGGGGAGGTTAAGATTGCATTTCTTTAAAGCATAGAACCATCTGGTGAAATTGTCAATGACTTCACTTTGCAGCGTGAGCCAGTATTTGAATATCTCTGCCCTTGCCAATAATTTTAACATTAAAGTGAATGGGAATTAATATTGAGGCTTTCAGAGGAAATGGGAGCAATTAAATTAATTATAAGAAGTACACAACAATTACTGTTATAATTTTAAATCTCAAACCAATTAGCTATACTAACCACTTCCTTTGGCAAATGCTCACCGTTTTTGGTAGCTAAATATAAGATTAAAATTTGTGATGGCAGAACATCTTTTAGCTACTTAGCTTAGGTCAGGACTGTTTGTTTTTATTTTAAGGCTGTATACAAAATTACAAAATTAAGAGAAGACTTCCAGTGGCAGAATCCTTTTTAACAACCTATTCATACTCATTGGGCCTGAATACCTACCGGAGATACAAAAAGGGGTTAGCTACAAAGGAGCCAAAGACAAACATGGATGCTCAACGTGAAAATCTGGACAATGAAGATCATGAATTTAACAGACTACCTTGTCTGAAGATTTTGATACCTGTAACAAGTGTATTAATATACATTAATCATTCTTAAACAGGTTAAGTTGTCACTGTAGAGGACCAGACCTAAGCATTTGCCTCAAACATTCTGAGTACTGCTACAGGAAAGGTGTGATTGGAGGGGAGGGTCCTGTGCAGGTGGAACAGAGCTGTTCTGGACTAACTTCCCTCTCCACCTTGAGGCTTGTGTTCAGTATCCCTCCCGTCACAACAAAACATCCCCAAAAAAATCTAATTTACATAAGAGGTGGGCACTGGGTTAAATATAAAAGGGAGCAGATCAGGCACCCTTGTTCCCTTTTTCCTCTCTTTTGCTGTCATTTTTTGCCCCATCTCCGGAACATGCACCTGGCAGGACCAACATAAGATCTAAGGACTGATGATACTCTTTGTTCTCTCTCTCCCTTTTCCTCTCTTGTTTTCATCCCTTGCCTTGCATGGGCAAAGCAGACCTATCATATTCTATCCCGTGCTCTGTATTGAACTTTGTTGTGGGAGTGTGGAGGTGGTGGAGGGGTGTTATGGCTTGTGAGTCAGCACCTCTGAGGAATTTGTTGTGGGAGCTGGGAACTTACTGAAGTGTACTATACTAAATTAAGAGCTTGTTAGCCATCACTCTCAAGGAAGTGTTTTGTAAGGATTTAAGGGCTTGTTAGCCAACACCTTTTCAATCTAAATAGTGGACTGGCTGCTGTAGTTCAGGTAAATATACAATAAAAGCATAAGATCTGCCCGACACGTGATCTAGTGTCTTTGTTCAGCCTGATGAGGATTTGTAATGAACATCACACCCCCTATGAGAGGCTCATGACAGTCACTATCTTGTATAACCAAGAGTTTATTTGTAGTTAATTATTTCAAAAGATCGTGTGACCAAATTTTGTTGTGAATGGTTAATTTCATTAATCAGTCTTACCCTCTAGATTATATTTTCAGTCTTATGTCATAACTTTGGAAGTATGTATTATTATTCAGTTTAAAGTAAAATTAAAAAAACAACAAACAAACAAACAAAAAACAAAACAAAACAAAAACCAAAAAACAAATAAAACATCAGGAAAACAAGAATGTAAGGATCAGAGCAGCTGGATATCATGGTGCCTAGGATACAAAGCAAGTAGTTGTCTTTCCATCCACTATAGCTGCCTCCATATAGGCAGTTTGGTTTCAGTTTTTTCTGCAAAATGTTGCCCCAGTGACACTGAATTTAGACCACAATAAGAAATGACACCCTGAACTCCTGCATCAGACCTTGGAGGATGCAACTTCCTTTGCCTTCTGAGCTCAGCAGAAAGCAGATGCCACAAACACCTTCTCTCATTTTTCTTCCTGCCTTCCCTCGTATTTTTCAGTTAAGGTTTTGTGAAAATTCACTCTGGGCAGAAGTTTCTCTAAATGGAAAGTACTTTGTTGGTACCCCTGTGTGCATTTATTCTCATATGGACCATCACTGAAATACATCAAGAGAACAGCCTCTTTTTTCAGTTTTCTTGCAGGAACAAAAACATTTTTGCTGTTACATCATATTCCATATCCTAGTGTTGACAGAACTGATATTAAAATCCATTCCAAGTCTGCTGAAAGGGGAAAGATGCCCAGATGCCCCTTATTTTGCTGGAGGTGGCCTGGGGTAAGGGGTTTCAGTTGTTTCCAGCAGAAGTATAAGTAGAATGATTGCAGATATATTGTCAGATATAAAGATAATAAAGCTGGTTTTGACCAGATATATTAATTATTTTTTTCTTAAGTGAAAGGCCATATTACCCAAAGGGGATTTTTTTAGTCAAAATATTATTTTGGATTGGTGTTTTTTATAATATTGCATTATAGAAGTTAATCTTTCTATCTTTCTTCTTTCTTTTTTTACTGACTTGTGTTTTCAAAGGCCTTTTATTCATTTCCTGTTTAGAAAGACATAGTATGACATATTTCGTGTGCTAGCTTTTACTTTCCTTCCTGCACTGCTTCTTACTTCCTGAAATCTTAGAGAACCTCTAACATTGCTTCTCTAAAAAATTGTTATTTTTTTTTAATATAGTATCTAGTTTCCAAGTAAAAATTTTGTTATCCTTGTATCAAATTTTGGTGATATACAGCAGGCAGAATACATACTCTAGTTCTGTTCTAAATTATAGTCAGACAACTATACTCTATGAATTTCAAAAACTGCAGTTTGTTGTGCTAGTCAGAATCCAGCCTTCATTTCTTACATTTACAATCTCTCTCTCCCTCTCCAAACAACATATGCTATCCCAGTTCACAGAATAAACACCTTTCAAGATAAATATTCTCTTGTCTCTTTTTGCTTTCTTCTGCCATGTTCTACTTCAGTCTGTGAAAGGGTCAACAACATTTAGTTCTGCAGTGAAGAAGAAAAATGGCCTTGTTCATTATTATAAAAAATAGTAAAAGGTTCCCCCACCACATGGTCTTGTTATCAGTTTACACACTGAAACATGTTGCAGGAAATTATGAATGAAAAGATATAATAAAATGGCTTTCAACTGCCTCAGTAAAACATGCATGTTGCCAACATTTTTGTCATCAATAATTCTCTCATAAACATGGGTCTCTTCTTTCATTGTGCAGGCTGTTATGCTTTATTGAACCACATAATTTCACCTAATTAAAATAAACAGTGCGTAGTTTCTTCCCTCTTCTGTTTTTCTTAGCTGGATAAGTGCCAGCAATGATATTTAGAGTATCCTAAGTGGACATCCTATTAAATATTCATTCTTATGCTCCTCTTTGCAGTCAAAACTACCCTAACTCCTGCTGATTTCCTTTCTGAATAATGAAGATGCACTCTATTTATCTGATGATTTAATACGTAGTAGACACTCTAGGACTTGCAGTTAAGGAGTCTGGAAAAGGTTTAAGTTTGTTGAAATGGGCAAAAGGGTAGGAGACTATGTTAAACAGTTTCTTGATATCAAGCCAGCAACATAAACCATTCAGTCTCTCATAAGTAATTATGCTACAAATCACTATATAATTACTCATCTGCTACTGCAGCAGGTTTCTATTTTGCCAACTCATCTCAGACAAAAAGTTTCGGTTTTCCTTTGGAAAAAAAAAAAAAAAAAAGAAGATAGCTCCATAACTTCATGCTCACAAAGAATCCAAAGTGGAATCATATTCTAGCTGCCATATATACCACTCGGAGTAGAAATAACTCTGATACAGCAATGGTGGTAGTCATCAGTCTACACTTGGCAATACAGACATCAGTGGGTGCTTGTAACAGCACATGGGGGGTTTTTTAAGAAGCGACGTTTTTAGTTCATTTTATCGCAATAAAGTGTGTTTAGGCATAAATACAGGATGGAGATGGTTTCATAAAAAGAAAATCAGAATTGGATAAATGATTAATGAAAGTATTGTTGAACTAGTGAACAAAAGGAAAAATAATTATAGTGTACATTTTCAAAGGGGCTTAGTGTCACGACTAACATTTTCATCAAAACTTTGCTTTGCCTTACACACACAGCCATGAAAAAAGATGGCAAAAATGTATGCTAATTGTCAGATCCTGCTATGAGTTGGCATTATAAATAATGTCAAAAATGTGCCATGTGACATTCATTAGAATCATAAGTTTTCTTCATTTTTAAGATACTATTGTTCAGGAATGAATGGGATCTCAGATTTAGCATATTGTCACATTTTTTCCCCATTTGTTCCCATCCATTAACAGGTTTTAGCTTGTAACTGAATTTCTTTTTAAGAAAGATTAAAACACAGATGGATAATTAAGAAGGGAAAGCTCAGGAATATCAGAAGAATCATTCTTTAGAATGTCAGCTATGACATGATTATCACAAGTTCTAAAGTACAGGAATTTAGGGGATTTTGAATCCAAAAGAAAGTACAGCTTTCGTTCAGGTTCATAGAAAAAAGTTTGTTTACAATTCCTGTTTATACTAGTAAAGTCTGTTGAGGTTTAGTCCTGTAGGAACTAAATTACTGAAAACATTTCCTTGCCTTCTATAGCAGTGATGGGTTTATGTAGATGCTAAGAATTCAGCATCTGCTTAGAGGATTTGGAAGACTATATCTGAAATGGGACAGCAATACTTACTTTGCATGACTCCTGTTATTATACTGAACATCTCAGGATGATCAAAACTTTTCTTTTCAACAAAATTGTGTGGCAGACACTAGTGCTTTCGCTTTCATTTTACTGTATAGATGAGAAGCAGAAGTAAATTGTCCAAAGTGGTAGAAAACTCTCCAAAAGATACTTAGTCCTCAGTTTACTGTACCATGAACTAAATTTACAAGAAGTTTTTGTTAAATTCTATTTGATTTCTCTAGCTACTTAAGATGCATTAAATAGGAATATTTGTATATGGTACATTTTGATAAGAACCATAAACCTTGTTCAACCAAAATATTACTAAAAATAGTAAAAGTTATCATAATTTATCTTTTAATGACTGCTTGAACCTGTATTTGAGTTTTGGTTCTTCCTACATTTAAAAAATACACAAAGACCGTGATAATTTGCAAGTGAGCAAATATTTGTGAAAACTGATGGCTGCCTATGAAAACATAGATGTAATTTTTTATATCTGCAAATTATCTTTCATTATGGAATCACACCACATTAATCATTCATGTATCAAAGAAGCAATAAAGTACAAATTATTTTGAAGTATCTCCCAATATTATCTATTGATGGATTTTTCCTGTTTGAGCCAAGCCATGTTCTCATAACTCAGTAAAATATTGTACAATTGTTACCTTACTTTTATAAGTTGTTTCATTAATACTATTTAGTGACTTCTTTATAGTTTTTAGACTTAGATATGTAGCAGAAAACTGATGGCACAACTATATTTCAAAGGTTGTAAGTTATGCTACCATTTTCAAGCAGCATTAATTTTATTTATAAACAGAAAAAATAAATTTAATCTCTCCATAGTACAATGAAGAGGGATTCCTTTAAACATTGAAGTAAACACCCCATATAGTCTTAAAAGTATTATAGGAGTATCATTAAACATATGAATTAAAGTCCAAAAATGAAAAGAACCTTTGAATCATCCCTTTCATTAAGAAAGTTCCTTTACCGGAGCTCATAGATAAACAGGGACTTGCCTACTTATTTATTTATTTTTTATCTATTTTTGTTTTATTGTTTTTGTAGCCATAAAATTAAGTATTTTATTAGAGATTATTAGCCATAGAATTTCTGTATTTTAGACTAAGCATTTTGAAAGAAGAGTGTTAGACGTAAGACTCATGTATTTTAGTAAGGTTGGAAGTTCTCAAGGGAAAGAGCATAGTTTATCATTTCTTATGAAGATTCTTTACAGGCAAGAATTTTGGTGAAAATAGAGACAGTGGCTTGC